TCGCGAGGACTCGAACGCACGATCGAAAGCCTCCAAGTTGATCTTCAGCTCTTCCGCACGTATGCTAAGATCGTGCTTCTCTGTCTGAATATGATCTATAGCCTCACGCAGACTATGGTTCTCCCGCACAAGCTGGACCTCCCGCATTTGCTTCGAAACACAGGATTCCCACAGGCGTCGGTATAGTCCGACGAGTCGAGCCGCTTGAAAGGCTAGTTTGGGGTCACTGATCTCGAGATCAGCCAAAGTTTCTTGTATGTCTTCGAATGGCTGTTTAAGGATCGTGCAGGAGCTACCCGGAATTCTGTTGTCTGGCACCGTCTGAGACACATTAGAATCTAACGAAGAAACGATGGGGTTCAAATATTTTTTGATGTAGAGCGTACCTGCTGGTCGGGAATTTCTTTTGCAGGTTGTTCCTGCATCATAGTAGAAGACGGGCTCTCGTTGTGGTCGGTGGCATGACGAGGAGAGACAATATTTGGAAGAGGGTCCATGGTGCGAGTCAACGACACACTGAGTTGCGAAGGTAGATGAAATGATAATTAAGGAGATAACTGTTCATTTTATATTTGCTATGGAAGTGTGTTCAAACTCATACCATGGTTCAAATCCAGGCTACTGCACACGAAAGATTTGAATTCAGTTGACTCAACTGTTGGTCAACTCTTCTCCCATTGTTTACTCACCGACGACTCACCAGAATTTCTTTTCGACAGGCATCTGAGTCAGTTAGTCTAGACCGGACGTGCTGATGCAACAGACAATATGCGACACTGTCTTGGAAACTAATTTTCATTGTACTCAGATGCACATTACGAATCGTCGTGGACAATGTGAGGGGTGTTCAGAGAAAAGACCTGCGACCTATGAGCGAGCTACTGACTATGCGCTTATTTGAATATCACAGTAAGCAACACTTTTGCTTTTCTCGGTCGTTCGTTCCTGCGTTGGCGTGCACGCGAACATAAATTCCCCGACTTTCCGCTATGATTTTTTCTCCCCACGCCCGTGAAAATGGTCAATGTAGAGCTCTGGCTGATGGGAGTATCGCTGCTTCTTTCCATTACGGTATGTTAGCCACATTCCTTCATTGTCCAAGTATTGATCCGTGACAGGCGTCTAGCCCAATCTCCTCAGCCACGGTCTCTTATTACGAAGTCAGTCTTGGGTATCTCTTCATCCACCTTTATCCACCTCAAGAAACTAATTATCGTCCTAGAATGGGATTCTGAGAACGACGCCACTTCCAGAAAGGATCCACGAAGGGCAAAGTGAGACACCGGAACATGCGCACAGCACTGTGCATCGGAAAGCACATGGGCATCGGCATTGGCATTTGCGATAGGCTGTCACTTTTGAATTTTCTAAAAAATGGCCTCGTCGCTAGACTGGACCTCAATTGAGCTTGTTAGTGCGTTTTGACTGGCTCATTCAATGTTGTTAAGTAGACTGTCAACAAAGTTGAAGGAGGTTTGATGATTGAGGCCTCATGATAGGGTTATTAGATTAAAAGACTATGCTGTGTGAACTAGTTACATATATACTCGTCGAGAAATAGAGACTTTCCGTCAAAGTAGAAGACTGCTATCACCATGATCTATCGAGAGCAGAGTAGTTGCCTGACAAGACTACCGAGCTCTGTCCCAACATAGGCATTGCTGGCGATAAAATCTTCCTGCCTTTTGTTAGAATCATTTAGACAGAGGAAGCTTATATGGGAGTGCAACTACCTTCTGAAGTGCCGGGATTGAATTTGCTGACTTGGCAACAGCCAGGAATTGGCTTGCAGCACACCTGATCGGCCAATATGCGATGCGAGTTTCGTCGCTCTCCTGATCTTTGTGCATGAGCTGCAAGACTAGTGATGGAATCATTGACAGGTACGCCTGCTCAGCCTGATCTGGCGTCCAGTCTACACAGAGCTCTAAGCGTGCTGGAGAATGTCAGTTTGAATCACTACCAAGGGCGGTTGACGCACCGATCTTGACAGCCCCGGTCCAGTCCAAGCAGAAAATCCCCGCAACCAAGCGATTGATGAGTGAGTCCAAATGAGTGCAAATAGTGCATCCCATTGATAACCTACAGGACATGGGTTAGAATATGCCTCGTAAACAATGTTGCCTGACATACTTGAGACAAAATAGCACTCAGCTCCTTTTCATTCAGACGAACCCGGGGACTTTCTGAAATAATTCCTAGAGTGAAGGGCAGGTCATCAAGCAGGAAGAATCCAGAATCCCCGTAGAGATAGCATTCATGGAGTCTCAGTACATTGGCATGCTCTAGGTGACCGAATCGGTCGATCAAACGGCGAGCGTCCTGCCTCTGATACTTTCGAATGGCCACAATGCGGGATCGGTGTGTGCGTCGGCTAGCAAAGATGACTTCACCAGCAAGATCCGTGTGAAAGATTTCTTGATAGGTATCCCATGGACGTTCGTGCCGCACAAGAAATGCGGAGTTGAGATCAGCGATGGCGAGGAGACGGGGAAGGCAAAGAGTTTTCGGCGCGCCTGTAACGACTTTTGGTGAACGAGTAAAAATGCTTGGCGAGTGAGAATATTTTTGTGTGCGGCCAGGACGCACTGCATTTGAAAAGACTGGCGCAATTCCAAGTTCTTTCCCTTGTATGGCACGAAAGTCGAAAGCAAGATGCTTGTTAAAATCATCCATGTTTGAACTCCACAGACCGACCGACCGAGCACTTCGCAGTCCAGATTTGCCTGGGGTAAAGGGTATATAAGGGTGAACAACATTGTCACAAGGAATGATACCACCCGTTCTGTCATAGTTCATTGATTAATGTCCCTAGCACGCTATGTCTTTCGTATTTTCTACAATCTAGAAAACTGAAGCGAAAAGAATGTGGTGCCTTGTCGTGAGGATGCTCCGAGCGTCAAGGAACATCTTTGAGGTAGCTATACAGCATGATTATGAGCCTTTGACAAACCTTTGATTTTAATATTTCCTTACATGGTCAAAAATCAATTTCTGTCCTCGGATGAAAAGAGCGGCAAGTTTCAAGCTTGTCGCGAGAGACCTTTGACGCCACGCAGCTGAATCTCCCCTGCAGCTCTTATTCGATTCGGTGTCTGAGTCTTGATTCCTCGATTGTTAGAATAACTTGCTTGGAGAGATGAGTATAATTCTCTTTGAAGGAAAGTAAGATAGCATACACAGGAAAGGTCTCATTTTGAAGAGAAGAAAGAACAGCTCCTCGGCGCACATCATCACCCTTCGAGTTTCGAGAAAAACGTGGCTAAGACAAGCTTATGCCTTCCAAGAACTATCGTCATACCTGCCCAATAAGCTTCTTTTCACTGACGTGGCTGCGCACTCTGCCGGGTAGAGCGACGACCACCCGTCGCTTCCCTTCCCGCCCTTCCCGTGTCCCTGACGTTTTGAAATACCGTTTCCACAGCTACCAATCGCTTGCTGAAATCCTCCAACAAATGGTTTGTCGATTCATTCCATATATTTTGCTCATGCAGAGCACTTTCGAGGCCACTAAGAAGTTGTCAGCAGTGTTTGGGACGGTCCAGTTTCCTCACTTACTTCATCCGATTATCTAGACTTCAGTCAGGTTAGCTATTGGTCTCAAGAAAGGAAGACGGGGACATACTCAGCTAGACACTGGATGGCAATGATACTGTCTGTTGCATCGATCGCCTCGGAATTCTGAGCTAAAGGGAAGGACCTTGCCAACCCTTTGGGGGGCGGGATGTTCATTGCCCGGCGATTGCTCTCCCTCATCACTTCCGAGCTGGGACTCGCGCTCGTCTTCCTCAACTTGGAAGGAAGGATCATCTACTGTAGTGTCACCACTCAAGGCACTTCCAGAGCCATCGGAATCACAAGATGAGAGCGAGAGAGCACGCTGCAATCTCTGGCGGAGACGCTGTCGCCGGTCGGCAGTCGAGTCGTTAGAATACGCATTCATTTTTGTAGGCAGTCAAGAAATGAACCCTCCTTACTAGTTAGAAAATGCAGCCGGTAAATGATTGCTCTTTATACGAAAGAAGTGGCACCCGCATTTTGTTAAGTGAGTCACGGCATTGCCCGCAAACCGCATGCACGTAATACCTTTGACGGATTCCATGGGACCGTGTTCGCTCCTGCAATGGGCCGTCAGGAGATAAACTAAACTCAAAAATCCAGAAAGTGTGATCCCTGGATAATTTCCTTTGATTTGATGCTGGTGAATCAACGAGATTGCTGAGTGCCCATGTGTGGACTCAACAGCGGCCAACTGTGGAGCCATTGCAAATCACATTGGGAACCGACATGGATGATAGACACGCCCTAATTCATTCAACATCGCTTTTAACCCGACTCATCGTCAAATTTGTTTCTGGGGGTAAATGAGTGACCCGCTCGAGGCATAGTTCGACAAAGCTACCAATGTTGCGCCATCCCGAGTAATCCACGGGCTGTCTATGTATTGGTCTACAGTGAATCCACAATATTTATTATAAGCCTACAGGAAAATAGAAAATAGGCCGCAAAAATATTATCATTGATTTGAGCTGCGTGGTGAAGGCCAGCGAGAACAACCGCACATATTGCAAGTACCAAAGTCTCAGCAAGAAAGGTGATGCCCTTTTTTAGATAGCGTGGGATAAAATAGTCGTCAACTTAACGTCAACTTTTTGGTATACCCAAGGGGCCCATTCAGGAACAGGCTTCTGAGTCGGTCTCGGGGCCCCACTTTCCCAATTTCTCAGAACAATAAAGAATGTGAGGTTGAGCTGATTTCTGAGCCAAAGTGCAGACCAATCGAAGTCTACCCATATCGCCCCTTTGGCAGCAGTCTAGTGTCCGGTGAATTTCAAAACTTATTTTCAGTATTTAAATCATGAATTTCTTGGCTTGCCAGGCTCCAGGGCGTGTGTTAAATATCAATCTCTCTTTACTGCTCTGGTGTTTGACGACCCATCTTCCTACCCCAAATTCCCTTCTCTCACCAGGCATTCATCATTCTCATTGCTCCTTTCACCATGGCGCGAGGAAATAGCTGCAAGCAGGATCGAAATGGCCATCACTCGCAGCGAGTAAAGCCGGTGATTACTAAAGCTCGATCAGTTTCAGATGTCTCAATCCGGTCGGCGTCTCCAGTTTCGACCGTCCGGGGCGCGAAGTCTGGAATTTTGAAACGCCATCACAGTGTGAGTCGTTTTTCGGATCTGCAAGACCTGATTCATTCAATCTTGTGGCGCTCTATCACACTCTAGCCCTTTATTGACAGCACATAGGGTTCTTCTGCGAAAGACCCCCGCAAACATGGCAAAATCGACCGTCAGAAATGCTCTGATCTCCTTTCTGAGGTCCAGACTGAGATGGAGAAAGAAGCGGATGAGCAGCTAGCTAGGGCCACGTCACGTTTTCAGGCAGAAAAGGCAAAGGATGTGAAAATAATGGAACAGATTATCGTCGAAAAAGACAGTCTCTCAGCCAAGAATTTACAGGCCGAGGGTGAGATTTCTCGCCTGAAGCAAGAGTTGGAGGCACAGGCCCAGGCCACACAAAAACTAAGTGAGCTGGAGCTACATACAGCCAGCCTTGTACCAAGCTCATAGTCAGTTGACAGCCGCCACTACTGCGCTTTGGAACTCAATCGAAGCCATCCAAAATCGCCAGCTACCAACGTTCTTGCCTGGGTCAGGTACCATGGATCTCAACTGGCCCAGTCTAAGCGGAGCGTCCAACCTTACTGGATTCGATAATTTGCCCTCATTTTACAATTCGCAATTCAGTCAACAAGACCAGCAGGCGATCAACCAAGCCGGTCCCCCAAATTGACGGCAATTGTTTTTCAAGTTGGTATGCCTTCTGATGGGGCGGTGGATTGAAGTGAGATCATAACGATAGAACACGTATCTCAAGCCTCACCAGGAGCATTAGCACCATTAGTGCATTCATTGTTGCCTGAGAACTATGGTCAATAAACCTTTCTATTATTGTACATTGTCACAAGCCAGTATTTTGGTAATCCTCAATCAATGGTACGCCAAACAGTAGCTTTCTCGAAATGAGGGAATTGCCCATTCACTGCATATATGTTTCACCTGAATCTGCTTGTTAAATCTAACGGCAGTCTTGAATACTGACAAGGCATTAGAGAGGAAAGATAGAAGAACTGGGGCTTGCCTCTAGCCAGGGTCAAGCTTTGGTCTAGATGCGGAAGCACCGACTACCATTTGTCACTTAGGTCGATTTCGTTCAATGAATTTGATTTTTGCAACTATGGTGATTTCAGTATATGACTGGAAGCGCGATTTATGTCGAAATGCTGTTCAATGGTGGGCATTCAAGGATGCTCAGCATGAAGCTTTGGGTGTCGCGGATTTATTCCTCAAAAATGACATCTATATGGCTTCCATGTCATAGAAATAAATATCTAATTCTTGAGACCTAAGAGCTTATGGTGTATCATGGTAGGGAATAAGTTGTATGTTCATGCAAGTTTTCGTAAAGAATATATATGTCTGTAAGTATGTGCCATTTATCTTGCATGCAGTACCGTCACAGACTCCAAACCCCCAATCTCCGGGCTCCAAACACAATCACAGACCCACCATCATTCCCTCCTGTTACCAGGCTGAGTGTAGTCTGCTGGCATCAGTGTTGGATCTGTGATATGTATTAGTTTGGTAATAATTCAAAGCAATCTCAAGAGACACCTTACCAGTGAATGGTCTTTTCGATTTTGCAAAGTCATTGTGGTTTGATTGATGCATTGGTAGATTATTAAGCGGTCGTTTGCTTCGACGCCTTAGTGGTTTCCCCTTCTCTTTTTTCGATGGACGTTTGCAGTTTGCACACTTTGGTACCTTGGATTCACGCGCAATGCATGAGCTACCAGCGTCGCGGCGTTTTCGAAGGATGTGGTGCTTTTTCCCTCGTAGAGACTCAACGCTTCGTCTTACATGATACTGCTGCCAATACGCAAGCGACAAAGCCTTCCAGGTCAAGTCTCGATTAGATTCGAGCCAGGGAAGGAGGTTTTCCTCCTCCCAGGCTGACCAGCCGACTGCATTATGGGGCGTCATCGTGCAACTGAGGGGCAGGGTTTGGGACTGGTTAGCGGTAAGAAAGTGATTGAATTGGGGATCGAGATGTTCTTGCCCAGAGGTCTTCTCATGGGTGAGCAGTTGTGGCTTTATGGAGAATCGCAACTGACAAGTAGTTCACTCTTCGGTCGCTCAAAAAGTACTCCTGGTGGGCGCGATGTTACATCTACCAAATTTCATATTTAGGGCTGGGAAGGTCCATGGTTGACCTCTTGCAGCCTCTTGGCGGAGCTGAACAGAATCGGACGCGACCTGTTGCACAAACGAAGTGGCAATCACTCAATAGCGCCCTAAAGCGGGATCAACATTCGGTCTACGCAATAAAGGTTGGTAAGAGCCTACCTACCTCGGTGAGGGCAGTTTACAAGCGCTTTTTAAGCGAAAGTACCCCTGTCAGAGAAGGAGTTCAGTGAAAGATAGCAAGGCCAAATAATGGTGAGACTCTTCGACTAGAGAAACTTATACCTAGCCAAGGTTGCAAAGGTTCCAAGTAATGGACGCCGCCACCAAAAGGTTTTCAATCGGAGGTTACACTGAACACTACGGAAAGAAAGGGTTGTCGACTCTGTTGTTAAAAAAAACATTGTCTATCGAGGCTGGGTTGAATTTGAAACAACAAGCATCAAAATATCCCGCGAATTAGACGGGGACCTCGCCTGGGTGGCTTTCACTAGTACAGGATCAGAGATCTGGATAGCTTAACCATTCTCCACCTTCTAGTCTAGAAGCCTTGACGGGTAAATTGTGTGAAGAAAATTGACTCATTGAATGGGAGGATCCTTTGATCGGAAATACCCCCGCAGAAGACACCTGGGAGGCAGGAAGTTTGAAGACAGTTCGTGGAAAGCTATGTGGTAAAATTAGGATACAAAGCGGGTCACTCTGGACTGTGGACGGCGATCCGTTGACTTGGCAGTGGGTTGTCGGAACCATGGGCCATACACTTATCGCGACCGTAATCAATATGATATAATTCCGGTTACGTCACACCTGTAGGTCTGCCGTATGCAGTGTCAACCCTGGCATGAAGAGAAATCACAAGTTTCTCGAGAATAAGCAACGCTTCCCGATCTCAAAACAGGTTCACTGGCTGCAAGGCTAGTAGAGAGAAAGGCAGGTACTAAGCATTTGTCTTTTGACTATGAGGGAGACTATTCCAAATGTCACAACCATGGACGCGCTGTGAATTGACTTTGTCCGGACCTGAGTGGGGCTAAATATGAGTATTGGTTCGCGTCTACCCCGAATCCGTCCACACCCAGCGTTAATTAAATTTTGACGCCCGGGATTCATCTAGGGTGGCCCCAATGACTCGGGACAATTATTGGTCTACTATTATGTAATTGAAGTCAATATTCCAGCCTGAAAAACTCTGAAGATGAAGGACTTGAAATATTGACTGAAGGTAGGATATGCTAGTGAAAGTCCCCCACGTTCTTTCGCCCTTATTACCTCCACGCAAGTGCATTATCACGAAGGACCAGCTAAATCGCTCACAGGGAGTATGCACGGGCATCTTGTCGCAGAATTTATTTTCCGGTGCTTATCGCGGGAAGTGGGTACTCAGGTCACTGCCAGGCTCGGGGAGAAACTACCGAAGATTGAGTTATGGATCTGGACCGCATTCACATCGAGTATCCACTACGCCACTCCGCTCAGCACAAAACGTTTGTTGCAGCTTAGCTGTAGAGGGTAGGAGAGTTTTGAATGACGATATCATCTATTACTATGGCAAAGACTTTGCTGCTAATGGCCTAAATGGCAGAAACAGTCATGATGGATTCCAGTACAATTACTCGTAATTGTGCAATGTGTGCTAAGGGTGACCACTCCTCGTTCTATCAAGCCCCAGACTGTTAGTGATCCTGACCCCCACCGTGATTCACCGGACTGAAGTCTCATGTCAAATTAGGATCAATCGAGTGCTGTGGTTGAAGGAAAAATTCGTGGACGGGAAAGTTGAGGACGCTTTGGTCAGGCCAGCCTCCGTCAGCCAATCCTGACTCTGGCATACAAGCAAGCTGCGGTCCACTCGCTGGATTGTTGACCATGCTCCAGAGTAGAGCATTTGCCGCAGCGATCTCGCCGATCGCATGCTGTGAAGCCAGCTGATTCTCCTGCTGCTGGATTTGTGCTTGCATGCTGGCAGCCATGTGATTCATCTGCTGGTGTAACTCATGCAGTTCGTTTTCCAGGCGTCGTGCCTCAGAAGAGATCATTTCATTCTCCATCACTTGCTGCTGGATTTTGGCAGCATCCTCGGCCCTATCGGCGTGGAGACGTTGTAATTCCATTTGCATGCCGGCGATCTGTGCGTCCTTTTCGCCAAGTGCCTGATAGAACTCTTCCTCGCATGCATTTGTGACAGCAAAGCATTTCTGGTATATTGCCTTCCGGTATTTTCTGCTCTGCCGTGATTTTACACCATCCTAGATGTCATTTCGGTCAGCGAATGTGCACAGAGAGCAAGAATTAAGATCAATTATCCACGAGTCCTGCGAACGAGCGTGATCTTAAAAATATGGAGGATGGCGACTGACCAACTTGTTACTCGGTACGCCCGCGGCCATGATCCACGCTAGCCTTGCAGATTGGTGTGGGCTATAAAAGGACTCGTGTCTTGGTAAACTGGGCTTTGCGCGTCGAGAAATTGATCGTCACAGTGAGGAGACGTCTTGGATGAAAGACAGGTCTGTGGTAGGAAAGACCCTCAGGAGCCGACACGGGAAGCCACAGGCTTCATGTACTTCTCCAATACCGCCAAATACGCTCACCGAGCTCGCTGTCACCACATTATAGCGTAAATCTGTATTGATGTATTTCCCGACTTGTCACGCCAGGGGTAACCCCCTTCATGTGGAGCCACTGATCGACCGATCCGCTCCACGGATCTTAAATCTTGGCAGACATGAAACGTGGGCGCTCTGGTTCCACGGAGAATCCTACTAGCTAAATCGAAAACGTCCTAGCGTTTATGGAGGGGCTTTCATGTAGGCCCGCCCATAGTATTCACAGCGCTCGATCCTACGCTTCTGAATGTGTTTTGAGATATTGAAGAGACTAGATCACCTTGCTGATCAGCTCTTCAATGATGCCTTCTACTTCTATATAGGATTCCAGCTCCTTAGCCTCGTGAGGAGATTTGCCGTTCCAACAAAGCACATTCACTCATCTGACTTCTTTATAGCTTTGATAATTCTGGAAAGCGTCGCTATAACTGTCGAATTACCAAAGGTTCACTGAACACATGCGGGATTTTCTAACCCTGTCCAACTATCTGGACCGACTGTGGGCTTGTGAATCTTTCTCGATTCTGTCACCGGAAGCTGCGTATCAACAGAAGAATGGAACTCACAAAAGCTTGTAAATTGACCAGAAAGTGATTCAAGATTTAAGAATTCAAGAAACCAAGGTCCATAGTCCCCCGAAAAGACCACATCCGTGGTTCGCCTAATGTTTATCAACCTTAATTTTGATCCGCGGTCCTGACAGTACCGCGCGCCTTTCACAGTGGAATTCCCCACCAACATGAACAAACAATAGCCACGGCCATTGGTGGATAGAATCACCACGATAAAGGCAATGTCATGAATCAATGGGCGCCATGAAGGCCTGGATCATTCTTTCCACATTAGACTTTTGCATTTGATATAAATCTCTCGATGGGAGTGATTGACGTTACCATACAGACGACTCGGTGCTGTCCGACCATTTTGCTATAAAGCTTTG